GTCTCTTGTTGTAGATTTTTAAATATTAATTCCATCTAGTTGTATGACATTATTACTTGGATGATTATTCTAATCGCTAGCTGCATGATCGACTTGTTACTTAGTTGATTTTCTTGGATTCTTATGATTATTATATTCTAGTGATAGATTATATTTAGATTATTAGTATTCTAGTAGCATGCTTCTATTATTATTACTTGTTCTTGTATTGGTCGTTCGACCATTTCTATTTCTCTCTTGAGATCTTACCGTGTGCCATGCATGCTGACGTACACCTATTTTCTCTGATGTACGTCAGACTTAGAGGAAGGACATGTCCAACTTGGAGATGTGCTAGAGCCAAGATATTCCCAGCAGGAGTGTCTTGCAGATAGAGTTAAAAAACAGGCCGAAGTTTAGTTATCTCTTCTTAGGGGATGGTCTTAGTTTACTTTTGGAGTATTTCCTTTCTTTTCCGTTAAATGATGTGTTTTACATTTCTCCAGTAATCATTTGTTCAGTTCTATATAACTGCATGTTGACCCGAATGTTATGTCTTGGATGATATTTACTTGTGATATGGATATTTTGTTCTGAGTTTGTCTATTATATTCTTGCTAACTGTGATCGGGGACTTGTGCCTTTACATTTATTTCTTGACGCTTAGCGTATTAGGTTGAGGAGGAATATTTATTTTAATTTATTCTCCTTAATCTAATACGTCGTGGGCTTGTTCACATTCTGATTCTTGGATATTTTAGGAAGCGGGACGTGACAGGTTTTAGTGGCGGCCCATACAGGTCACATTCCCGAGTTCCTACTAGTAAAAATATAACGGACAACTTAGACGCATATTATATTTCATCCGTGAGACTATTCTTTAGTTCTTATTCTATTTTCTTGATAGTTTTCGTTTCGTCCCTATCTTATCACTTTTTGATTCTGGAACTTCCCACTGTTTCTTGTGTTGTCACTTCCGACCATACTCTCTTCCTATAGCTTCTCTTTCCTCGTGCCGGTTATTATTTTATATGTTATTATTTTTACTCTTTATTTTCTTTGATTTGACTTATATATCATTTAATTATATTGATTTCTGTATTATTTATTACATTATTTTATGTATCACACATAGTGTTATATTGTATATATATTGATTGAAAAATAAAATGATCAAGAGGCTTGGAAATTGATTGAGACAAATAGTTATCATGTTCTTTTTTAGAATTTAAGATAAAGTCCCTAAGTTAAACTTGGTTTTGGTTAACAACAATGAAGAGGTTATCTAAGAAATTTACTTTGGAATTACGTATGAAATATTTTATTGAGTAAACACTAGCTTTAGTTAGATTGTTTAAAGTTATCAAGTAAATTGATTCTATATTGACTTATCCAAAGTGGCAAGTTGGCTGAATTTTTTGGGTATATTCACTGTAAATCCTCATGAGACCATAATTCGGCTGCTACGTAACCTAGAGGTTTAAAGGCTTCTGATATATGCTAAATACAACTGTATTTCCTATGAAATAAGTTAGGATTTTTCTTTCTTTTTCCCCCTTTGCTAGAGGACTAGCAAAAGTTTTTGTGTGAAGGTAAAAGTTTTGGTGTTGGGGTATTAAAGCATTATATTTTATTACACTCTTATATCCTCATTACCTATTTTATTGAATAAATATACTAGCTAATATCATGAGTTTTTATAGGAAATTTTGAATTTAACAAATAAGAGTTTAAATGAAGATTATATCAAGCCTAAGAAAACATTGATTGAAGTCTAAAGGAAGTCCATAGAAGCCTAACGAAAAAGCTTCTAAGAATTTCTGTAAAAATCACAGCCGAAGAAGTATTGGTACTCGTATCAATACATATATCGATATTAATATCCGTACTAGTATCAGTATTAGCATCAATACCTATTATATTGAATAAATATACTTAGTGGGGGCGGGTGGAGGCGCTAAGTTTGATCTAAGGGCTAATATTAGTTTGTGTAATCTACAAATAGGGGTAGAGAGTGAAGATTTGAGAAAGATAAAACTTTATAAACTCTATTTTCAAGAGGAGTGTTACCCTTAATTAAGAAGACTTTCCAAATTAATTTTTTTATTTGCAATAAATAAAAAAATTCTCTTTTTTTATTTTCTTTCTTCTTCTCCATTAGTGAAAGGATTTGTTTATCAAAGGGACAACCCCTTGTAATGTAAGTCTATATTTCCTCTTTTTATTTCTTTTTTAGAACTACATGTTTTAGGATTTTATTTCTTATTTTTATTTATTGCAAATAAAAAGTTCAAACTTTGAAAGTTCTTCTCAATTAAGGGTAATCCTCATCTCCACAATGGAGTTTACAAAATTTTACCTCCCAAGACCTTCACTCTGTACCCTATTTATAGATTACACAAACCAATATTAGCCTTTAGATCAAGCTTAACCCTCAGATTACACAATTTTAGCCTTTAATCGGCAATCGTTAATTCGTTATTGATACTAGTATTAATATAGGATATTGATAGTTCTTTGGTTCTGATTTTTGCTAAAATTCTTGGGCTCTTTTGTATTTGGATTCTAAGGTCTTCTTTTAGACTTCAATCAAAGTTTTTCTGTTTGATATAATCTTTACTTCCTACAAAAACACATGATACTACCTAGTATATTTATTCAATAAAATTGATAATGAGAGTGTAAAATTGTAATAAAATGTAATGATTAAATATACCCATACCTAAACTTTTCTTGTGCAGCGCATTGTTTTATCATCTTTAAAGGTCGAGTTGTCAATCCTTCAGGGAGACTTCCACTTAGTCTTTGACATAGACTCGGTCGTCCTAACATGGGTGGGGTTCTCGATCTCAACTGGACATAAACGCTCTATTTGCATCATGGTAGTCCTTCATGCTAGCTTGGGCTTCCTTGATTGCTCTTGAAGTACACCCTACGACGATGATTTTGACAATTGTCCCATGCGCTATATTATCATACTGTGACACGACTTTATCGTTAGAGGAGAAGTCACTCCTTAGAGGAGTCACCATTTATTTTTAGTCAAAAGATTCATAATGATTCGAGATAATGAAATAGTCATTCTCTTTTATCGATCTTTTGAAAAATAACAAACAGTATTGTAGTGTATTTCGTTGCAATTGAGATTCCGAGAGGTTATGCCTGTGGAGAGTAGACGTCGGCTCCGTGGACCATATAAATAAAATAGCAATGTCATTTAGACAATTCAGCGAGAAGTCATCATCATCATTACTTTCGTTCAATCAATCCACTTTACCGCTACCATCAAGCTCAATGCTGAGCAATTCGAGCAATATGTTGGGCTTGGTGGTGCGTTTTCTCAGGACCATGTGCCTTGGCTTATCTGCATCACTGACTTGCCGAAGCAAATGCATCAAATGAGCAACAGTCGTGATTAAACTATTGATGGAGAGGTCAAATCGTGTCAATGGGTGTCTCATATTCTGTACGGGTCGTTAGGTTGATCCTTGCTTATCTCCATACTGTTCGTCATTGTATATACCGGTTTAGGTCCGCATGAAGTTTCTGGTCTAGGTTGAATTATGTTCCACTAGGTTATGTCTTCCCATCCTTAGAGTTTGAGCTTCTTCTTTCTTTTAGCTCACTTCCTTACCTTTTTGCAGTATGGTCAAGTATTGTCAAATGTCTCTAGGGGTTCAACTTTAGGTATAACTCATCTGTTTTGAACAACATCTACTTTTTTGACCGCCTACAAACGATATTTGATAACAAAGGAAAGAAAGAAGATTTTTGATACATCACCTATTGCTATACTAGACTCTTTTGTATTTAAAACCCCATCTCCAGCTAGTGGCAAAACAAAGATACAATCAACTTGGATATTTAATAACAAATCTATAATTACAACGTTATACAAATAGAACTACCAGGTCACATTTAATAATTGAAATGTTTTACATCTTGTACTCATGAATTGAGAACCTGCTCTTGTAACTTTGAAGAAGGCGATTAAGATGGAGTAAAAAAACTGAAAATCAAGGGAGCATTACTTATCATTCTTACTTATTACACGCTCTGAGTTGTTGAATGTTAGAAAACTTTTTTTTATTACATTTGTGATGCCATCAGTTACAAATAATGTATTCGAACATAAAATATTTTTAGATCCTTAATTGCGTACAAGTTGTCTTTTGAAACATTTGGCGTCCTATTTCGATTATTCATTCGGTATGCAAAAATTGTGATACTTGATGTTAGCTTTTCAGTTGTCATATTCATTCTTCTCCACCTTGAAATTTTCACATAGTTTTTGCATACAACTAGATTGTAAGATCTTTTAAGTTACAAAAAATATGTACACAAGTAATTATAGCATTATACTATTTTCGGGTACTTTCTTCAGCTTTGAGTGCATGGTGTGCATAGCCATTAGTTGAAAATTTTGCACGTTATTAACTGCTTTAAAATGATCATTTCGATGCTCTGCATTAAGGATGTGTCTGTGCCTCGTGGGTGGAACATGGAGTTATTTTCGTGCATCGAACACGGAGATATGGCAAGTGTTTTGGACGTTCTTTTGGTAAACAACAGGTCAAAATATTAGGGATGGACCGTGCGCAGCAGCAGAGGCTAAAATCCTAACAATATTTTTCTAGTGGACAAATTTTTAAAACCATCCACTTTTAAAATTTATTTATAAAAAACGACTTATTTTAACCTTAATTTTAAAAACCGATCCAGTTGGTTGAAACTGGGTCGGTTTTTGAAAAAAAAAATTTCAAACTTCACGGGAGTTGAACTCCCGTGAAGTTTTGTTATGAGAAAAAACTTCACGGGAGTTCAACTCCCGTGAAGTTTGGAATTTTTTTTTTTCAAAAACAGATCCAGTTTCATCCAACTAGGTCTGTTTTTAAAATTAAGCTTGAAAGTGGTCTTTTTTCGGGAATAAATTTCAAAACCGGATGGTTTTGAAAAATTTGTCCATTTTCTAGTCGAATCGAATTAATAAAGATTTTGGGGGTATATTCTTCCGAAACGCAGACTGCGGCATCCATCCGAAGTCGAAAGCCCAAAGCCCGAAGTTTTGTTTGGTCAGCGCCTCAAATAAGGGCACGGAAGTACAGAGATGAAGGCGTTGGTGACCGGCGCAACCGGTTACCTTGGCAGCAACCTCTGCCGGCGCTCTCGCTCGCCGAGGGCCATCCGTCCGGGGCGCTCGTGCGCGGCACGAGCGACCTCACATCCTCCCATCCCTCCAATTCTAGCCCTGCTTCCTTCGAGCTCGCCTACGGTGACGTCACCAGACCTCCCCTCCCTCGTCGACGCTGCTCCGGCTGCCACGTCATCTTCACAACCGCCGCCCTCGTCGAGCGCATGGCTTCCTGATCCTTCTAGATTCTTTTCTGTAGCTCCCTCCTCTTCTTCGCTTTTAATTTGTTTTTTTTTTCTGGGCCCTAATTCGCTCGTTTGTTGGATCGGTTAGGTTAATGTTGGGGGGTTAAAGAATGTCCTTGAAGCTTTCAAGGCGACGGATTCGGTGGAGAAGATTGTGTATACATCGTCGTTCTTTGCCCTTGGATCTACTGATGGATACGTTGCAGATGAATCGCAGGTAAATTTGTTCTTTGCTAGATGGAAAAATTGAAGATCCCTTTTCTGCCTGTTTCTATGTCTTCGAACCGGTACTCTTCTGATGATCTCTACTCGTATCTATGTAACTGGTTCGTGTTGTTTACTGTTCGACGGATTGTCGTGAACTCATCTGGACATCTAATTGACATCATTTTCTGCATTAATCTTTTGGGAATTTATGTCTCAGATTTGCCTCCGGCACATTATTAAATTACGGGTCATTTCATCTGGGGCTTCTAACTCAAATGGTCTACCATCATTATGGGTTGATTTTTTAGACATAGAGGTGTGTTGTATTCCAACACGGACAGGTTTGTTAGATATGGCCGTTTGTATAAAATCAAGATATCAAGTACACAACTATGTTTTTATGTGTTTTGTGTTACATGTGTGTGTAGATAGAATGGGGTTGGGGCAGGATAGGTGGGTAGATAGGCAGAAGCTCGTCTAAACTTAAACGGAATGAGGGCTCAGTCCACCAAGAATTTTACCCTTGGATTGCTTTAAAATATGTGCTGATGTCTGATGGGCTTGATAAAAGACGTAACCCTTTCGATCACCTCATAGCAATCAAGCCCTATCATTTGTTAACGCATATTTTAAAGCCAACCACAGGTTACGAACTTTGTGGGCTGGACCTACATAACGAATGTGACTAAAATATGTATAAATCTGTAACAACAAATCACTAGATTGTGAATGCAATATGAAAGAAGTGATGCTAAACACGTGATAAGATCTAACAATATAACAATAACAAAAATAATTATAAATGGTAAAGATCTATAAGAAAAGCAACACTACTCAATGGACATTATGATTTTGGGTAGAATTCACCTTGAGAGATGTGGATCTCAACCTACACTATATGAAATTTTTATAAATCTGAAATTAACCAGACTCGTAGACAGATAGTTGTAATCTTGTACAGAACTTGAAAAATAGTCAAATCAACAATAAGGGTAATGAGCACCTGTTGGCACAAAACACCAATAAAATAAAAAAGAAAACTACCAAACAATAAATAATCAATTAAAATATAAAGTATGCTCGATGTCTGTAGGAATAATTGAAGGCTGCAGGATGAGATCAGTAGGTGGAGAGGCTCGCTGGCGATCAAGGATTGTTGGGAGGTTGAAAATGAATGGCAAAGAGGACTGTGGGTGGCACAAGAGGATGTTTGTTGTCGGGAAGCAGTTATGGGTTGATATCGCTATCGTGACTGAGCGAGACGATGAAGACGGTAGCGTTGGGCATGATTGTAACTTGATGAAGGGGAGACGACACTGTTCAAAATAGAGTACAGGGTTTCAATTGACTTGAGGGTAGGGTTAATTTGATGAATGGTGGAATAAGAGATAGATATAAGATGGATGGGTAGATGGCAATTTACATGCCCTAGATAGGATTTGCAACTCACATGCAAAAATGATAACTTACATGCCAAAAGATCTCTTACAGAATGTATCATTTCTCAAATTCATAAATCATCGTCTGCCTCATTCATGAAACGTACATATATTTACTAAAAAACCTATTCCTAAAGATAGGATCAAATATCTCCACATTGAAAACTAATCCTAAAGATAAAACCAAATATCCAAGCTCTTATCTAGATAAACAAATAATCCATCTACTAGAATTATCTGATCAAAAGTTATATGAAAAATAAAATCTTATCTAAAACAAGTCTATTATGCTGATCCTGATCACTAGGACTTGTAAGAAGTAGCTTCTACACCGGTAGGACTAACATCAAATTATGAATTTCTCATCGAATAATATCCGTAAGGTGAGCCTATTCTCAAATACTTTTATTTCGTGAGAGGGTTTTAGCTCTTTGTTCCTAGATCAAACAATTACTATTACATGAGCTTACAAGAGCTTAAAGAAGAAATAAAAGCTAGCTAATACACCATACTCTAATCCTTGCATGACACACCCTCTAACAATGAATCAACATAGAGCTTACACTCGGAGGGAATAAATTGTAAAGTAAAAAAAATATAAGCACAAAGGTCTTAGTAAGTTTTACAAGTCCTTTTGGCCTCCAACAATCTCCTTGTGAATTTTATAATTCAAGGTGGGCACAGTGAATTTCTTTGCCCTATAAGGTACTATTGAAGCATCATGTCTAAATCATGACACCTAAATTTATAATCCAACCACTGCATACTACAGTTTCACACCTGATTGGAATAAACGCATTGGAATAACAAAGTCTAACCACTACATACTACAGTTCTGCACCTGATTGGAGTAAATACACTAGAAGAACAAGTGATTGTGGCTTTCAGGTGAATGCAAACAAAGCAAACATCTATAGCCACCTCCAAATAAACTAGTCTATCATTGATTGGAAGTCTTTTTCTGCAGAATTAACCACAAGATATAAACTAGTCTATCTTTTGCAGTAAGAGATATCTAATTTTCAACATTTGTTTCCCACACTAAGATCTTCTGTCTTACATACACATTCCAAATTGTATATCTTTTAGGATAACACCTATGGACTCATTTCACCCATCATGTCTTTCTGTAAACTAATTGCCCATGGAAGCTTCATGGTAGCAACAATAATCAATGACTCAGCAGAAAAAAAACCTAAGGCCTCCTCTCTCTGCATCTTGACACTATTCCATGCAGCAAGATGGATATTCATCTTATCATGCATTTTCTCCCAAAGAAACGCTCTATACAGTAAATCAACTTCTTGTAATAATTTCTTTGACTATATATAATTACTCGACGTATAGATAATCAACTCTCCCAACATAAGAAAGTTTTGTATGATTTCAAGATTGCAACTTTTGAGTAATTTTAGCAAGCAAAGCATTACAATCAATTGATAGTTTCCTGCAAACTACAAATAATCCAAATTGTTGTAAAGGAAACTTGGCCCTCAGCAGACTTCAATTCTTGTATGATCTGAAGCTTGGAATCATCATTCACACCACTAGAGTGCACATAACACTTATTAGGATTGACATTGAGACTAGAAACTCTACTCAGTTCCAAAAAGCAATTTTGCAAAGTCTACATTAAGGGGTTGTTTGGTTTGGCCGAAAAAGCAGAAAACCCCCAAAAAATTAATTCCAAGAAAAAGCACAATAGCTTTTCTCAAAGAAGTTTTTCTATTCTACTGTTTGTTTCAAGTCCTCTTTTTTAAAGAAACATTTTCTGTAGTGTTATGTCACCTCACGAGAAAAAGAAAAATCATTTTCGAGTTTTTAGTTTGGAAATGGGGTGAAAATTGAATAAGGGGAATAACAAAGTATTGGGAGGGGGTGAGATGACTTTTCAGACACCATCCAAACTATTTCTTATAAAAATGATTTCCTATTTTTTAGGCACCAACCAAATAAGTGAAATTGAGGTTTCTATATTATTTTGTCATGATCTATCGGGGAACGGAACAGCAAAAACTCTTTTCCAAGAACCCAAAAATATGTTTCTTTTCTAGGAATCAGCTTTTCTATAAATATGGTTTTTGAACCGAACAACCCTAAATGCACATTATGTCTGCCAATAAAAGAAGATCATTAACGAAGATTAGATGACGAATCTTAATTTTGGCACATTTTGGATGATGCTTAAAACCACCACCGCCATGCTTGATCATATTGAAAATTCTTGATAACTATTCTCTGGTCAAAATAAATAGAGAACGGGAAAGAGGGTCCTCTTGTTGTAGCCCTCTTTGATCGTGAAAATAATCATGCAAAGATCCGTTGAAAAATAGTCTTTTGTACTAGTAGCACATACCGTATTTTGATGAACTATTCGCATCCTCATGGGAAAACCCAAGCTCATAAGAGTATCTATAGAAAATTCTAACCTCAGGTATCCTAGAATACCCAGGTATGTGGATTGGCATTCAATAACCATATCAAAGACGTGTCGGGTACAGCTACGCACTCGATGCATGATGGACATGGGCTAGTTTTATTTCTGCCGTTCTATGCTCATTTCCTGGAAAAATTAAAACAAAGTTATTGCCAACTTGTATGTATTATATTGTCTTGGAAAAAATAGGAAAAGAGCCATAAAAGCACATTATAACTCAAAGAGATAGTTTCCCACAAGAGAAGCAACTAAAGCACCTAATAACTCCGGCTTGCTTATTCTCTGAAGATGAAAGAGTGCTTTATAGGAGATGGTGTTGGGCTATAATGAGGACAATCGATGTCACCTTTTTATTTATTAGAAATACAAAGAAATAATTATATATTGCAAAAATGCAATCGTACTTTTATAGGAGAAGGTGTTGGTCTTTAATGAGGCCAGATGGTGTCATTATTTTACATATTAGAAATTAGAAATATAAACAAAAATTAGACACTGCAAGAGGAAATATTTTATCAGGAGCATAGAAATGTAGAGAAATATTATATATTAGATACTTGAAAGGAGTCAAATCAATTCTTCTTTGAATTTGAGATTCCACACTTAGTATTACAATTTAAATGACAAATTTAGTGACAATAATATAGTCTAAACAAGCTCTACTTAAAAGGTTCATGCTAGACATATATGTTTGTATGTATGTATTATATGATATTATCATATTATATTGTCGTGTCCCTGTACCTTGTCTTGTTCAAATTTGCCATGTTCCCTACGTGTACCCACACCTGCATCTGCATTAGTGCCCATACTTTTGCAATATGGAAGGCCTATAAACTTTCCTTATGTCAATTTTAATCATACATCTAAGAGATAATTTTCCTTTCATAATGTTTGATGAGTTCATGGCAAAGAAAATATTATTATTTATTCGTGATTAGTCTACCCTTCACAAATGCACATTGAGCTTAATCAAGAAGGTACCCTATTACCGTTTTAAGCCTAACAATGATAGGTTTAGAAATTGCTTTATCATAATCTTGTTAGAGTATAAGTTTGGATAATTCTTTCCATGATTGATATTACCTGTGACCTGTTTGGATATACCGCATTGTTATCCTATCCTAATTAATATGCTTAATTGAGTCATCAATCCACTTTGCTATAGTGTCGGGTTAATATCAGATCCATAGATATGTGATATTTTAATTCAAATATTGTATCTTTATAAACAAGTATTTTAGAGATAGGATTATTCAAATTTAGCAGATAAATTTGAAATTGAAGTCTTATTAAATGAAGCAAATTGAATTTATTAAAATTATAGACTGATTAGGAAGAATTAAAAGGTAGCTAAAAGATTAAACTAATCACACTTTTGAATAACCCCAAACACAAATAACGAGTACCAGTATGTAAAGCTTAGTATTTTTGTTTCTCACTACAACTTTAAAATTCTTGTATACTGGTATATGTTCAAGACCATATATAATCCGAGTAATCCTTAACTTTGTGAGAAGTAATTAAGTGTTAAAGAGTTCAAATATTGTGAGAAGTAAAGTTGGTGATCAATTAATCAATAAATATTTTGGATCAGATTCCTATTAGGTCTATTTGTGGTAATTTCATTTGAATATCACATAAATTCCCTTCTCTCTCTCCCTACCCCCCTCCCCCCCTCCCAATTCGACATCCATGTAAAGAAGCAGTTTCAAAATGTATTAGTTAGATATGTAAGGGAGCTATCTTGTAAAGTATTAGAAAGTTTGTGCACAAACTCTTTAGAATATATTATATTTATTAATCACTGAAATTGCATTTGAAATAAATGTGAAAGTATTGAATTTGGTTTCTTTTGCTTAAACAAAAAGGCTTTACATAGCCCAAACTGTAATATAAACTATTTAGCAATCAAGTTATAGTAAAGAAATCCAAAAAAAAAAGAACAATCGAGATATTTGACCACGTGCAACGCATGTGCATCTCACTTAGCATATAAAACTACATCAAGATATTGGTCGGAAATCAACAACAGTTTTAGGGCACTTCACTTTAGGAATTAAAGTAATATATGTCGAGTTTAATTGACCAAGGAGTTAAATACAGAAGTCTTGAATAGCCTCCACAACATCTCTCCCAACAATTCCCTAAGCTTCTTTGAAAAAACACGCTGAGTAGCCATCTAGATCAGGAGCTTCGGCTTCTAAAATATATGAAATTGCTTCAATTATTTCATCCTTTAAAACCTCCCTACTAAACATAGATCTCTGCTCACCATTAGACCATACTTTAGCTTGGAAAACTCGTCTCTAGGTGGAAGAAGATTACAATTGGCTTCCCATCAAGCCATGCTGAAATTGCAAAATGTCATATGCATTTGCTTTAAGATCAGTTCATTGGTCTCAATATCTCTAATAGAGTCGATATATCGGCCAATATACCCATTTACAAGGCTTGCCACAAATGATATAGTCATGATATTCTTTATCGCTTTTTTGGCAATTTTTTAGGCAATAAAAATTTCCAACATAGTAGTCTATATCTCCTTTAATATGACTTCTTGTGAAACAATATTAATTCTACAAAGTTTCTTCAAAGTTTTTTTAGTAAAAATTCTAGCGTAGTGAATTCTTAGCAAAATTCTAATACACTATTTTCCCTACGTAAGTTTCTAGAATTAGTTAGTGATCCTAAACATATCTTATTTATACTTTTGTATGCTTAGATTTCATTAAGTATGTTTAGATTACATTTTAGGATATTTTATTATATATGCAAATCATCAAATATGACACTCCATTGTTTACTACTTGTCCATGGCATTTCCTTGATATTTGCATTCGGATATGGAATTTGGCTATCCGATGTCTTCCCAATGTCCGATATTTAAAATCTTGGACTAGTTAACCTTTAATTTGAGGGACTAATTTGAAATAACTCAAGTAGATATTTAAAATCTTGGACTAGTTAACTTTTAATTTGAGGGACTAATTTGAAATAACTTAAATATTAGGGGACCTAACAGCAATTTCAATGATTTGAGGGAGCAATTTAAAATAACTTAAGAATTGGTGACCAATAGAAATTTTAATTTAGTGGGACTAATTTCAAAATAAGAAAGATTTGAGGGACTGATATTGGAAAAAAACCCACTTCTATTAATTTCATTGCCATGGAATATTGTTGAAAAGTTTGTATTGCGGACTGAACTATTATTTGAAGCAAAATTTAGCAGAATAGTAAAGATTCTGTATAATGTTTAGTACTACAGTCCCTATGCCAATTTTGTACCATGTGATAGGCTTTTTAGTGTTGGGATACCATACTTCAAACTAAATCGGTTTGTATTTCCAACCTGTACCTTTTCTGTGTAAACTTGGACAACCAATACTCTGACCTCATAACAGTCCAACTAACTCCTTTAGTAATTTAATCGATGATTGTTAATAAGATGTTAACATAAGGCTTGTTCTTGCGTAGTGGGGCCCGCCTTCAATTTGTACTTCTATTTCTTACAGTCCATAGTTGCAGGTTCATCATGGAAAAGTTTTCTGTACGGAGTATGAAAAATCAAAGGTGATAGCAGATACAGTTGCAATGCGGGCTGCAAGTGAAGGAATTCCCATCATCCTTCTTTATCCAGGAGTTATTTATGGCGCTGGGAAACTAACAGCGGGAAACATTGTTTCTAGAATAGTAAGCTCTCTTAAAATTTCAACTGCTGTGTTGCTAATTAGAAGAGAATACCTTATAACAAAGCTCTGATATTCTGAGGCTCCTAAATTTATGTTCTTTCTAACGGTTGTTTTTTTCCCTCCTATGTTAAGTTTGGGTATGTTTACTTTTACCTAACACTGATATTTAGAAAGCAAAAGAGTTGTCAAGTACCAACCATCTAGGATGCTAAGATGGATGTATGATGACCAAGAACTGGGTCACTTTACAGAAAAAAAAGAAGATACTAATATTTACCTTTCTGAGCTCGTTAGTTTGTACTTCATTCATTGTCTAGTCTTGTTGCATATTGGAAGAGACTATCCATAGCAAAGTTGAACAGTTGAAAGATGATCTCAGAAATATAGTATAAGACAGTGCTTTGTTCTCGTTGTTGTCTTCTTAATCTGAAAGGAACTTCTGAGGAAAGTATTAGTGTTCCTGACATTTTGATCGTGCATTTAAATAATGACATGGTAATCTTTTTTTTTTCTTTTAAGAGAGTGAGCTTATTAGAGTAGAATTATTAATTGCAACTTCAGTTAAGAGAATGATTTATTCCTTAAAGGAAAGTTCTGCAAATCATTAAGCAGTTGATGTGCCCCCTTATTGGATAACTTAATCTGTTCTCTGACTCACATGGAGAAATTTATTGTTACCTTTGTTTGTGGAACAGCTCCATGAGTTGATTCTTTTCAGTTGTCTCCACTCATTTGATGTTCTGGAAGCATAGAAACTACTAGACCTGGTTACACAGCCATCTCAGATGCTAGTTATAAAATTCTTTAATATATATTTTCATTTTCTTACTCTATATGAAGGCTTGTATTAGTTTACTTAAAATCTTGAACTGGGTCAGCTCTTGTATATTTCACTTTGTCATATTTCATAGATATTGAGAGTTTGATGCTAAGTGCGATTTGTAGCGATAAATACTTATGTTTCCATCTCCTACTAATCATGGTGATTTGAAGAATGCCGGATGAGGATTTTGGTTTTAAGGGATTCATCTTTCAGATGTGAATTTGATGTTTTATTCTAGTTAATTTTCCTCATGAACTGATTGAGGACCAGGTAAATACGAGCTTGTACATCGAACAACCATGCATTTCTTTATTATACGTAAGTGGAATTGTCTGCAATTTTCCCTTTCTTTAGTTAATGCATTTCTTTAGTTATTGGTAAGTGGAGTTGTCTGCGATTCTGAAATATCAGGTCAGTCAGCTTGCCACACCCAAAGCAATTTTAAACTTCTTAGAAGGAACGCATAAAGCTGATCATGTCAACCTCAGAGAAGATGGCAACTAGTCAAAATGTACGACAAATAAATTAGAGCATTCAAGTCCTAGAGAACTTTTGCTCATCTTTCTGACTTCTGTTGTCACATATTATAAATAAAAGTGAGGTTTAAAATTTGCTCTGCGCATCTTTCTGTTTACAGAATTTGAGGTTTCTTTAACAGATACAGGTCCAATTCTTGGTCCTTTATAATATGAAGAACATAAAGTTTACAGGGAGTGAAATTACCTTCCAGATAAACATGTGAAAAGTACTTCTAGTACCTGTCTGATTACAATTTTATGTGAAATATACCCCCTCCAATACGAATTAGGAAAAAAAAATTTCAGTCCCTAAGTTGTTTGCTTCTTACAGTTTATAGTACTCTATTACCTAAACTAACACGCACTTGCAGCAGCAAATAAAGTATCATGTGTTTCCGGGTTTTCCAGATGATTGAACGTCTAAACGGACGATTACCTGGTTATATCGGCTATGGAAAAGACAGGGAATCATTTTCTCATGTTGAAGATGTTGTGGAGGGGCATATAGCTGCAATGCAGAAGGGACGAATGGGTGAAAGATATTTGCTTACTGGAGAGAATGCATCCTTCAAGGACGTCTTTGATATTGCTGCAGTCATCACAAAAACAAGAAGACCTTCTTTCCACTTACCTCTATGGGTTATAGAGGTTTATGGGTGGATTTCTGTTTTCTTTGCTAGAATTACAGGGAAGCTTCCTCTTATCAGTTATCCGGTATGAAATCATATTGTTTCTTGTAATTTCGTCTAGTTTAATTCTTGGATGATAGTTAGCGAACGTAAATTGAATCAGACATTATGGTTTGCAGACAGTCCGGGTTCTGAGGCATCAATGGGCGTATTCCTGTGAAAAGGCCAGGAAAGAGCTAGGCTATAATCCGAGAAGCTTGAAAGAGGGGCTGGAAGAGATGCTTCCCTGGCTGAAGAGTTTGGGATTGATAAACTACTAAATATGGTGGCTTTAATGTAGAGTCGCGTGGTGTTCTATGCTGTTCATATTAAGAGCTCCTGTGTTGTATGTTGGCCAGTGTGGTTCAATTAAGCTTGATTATGTCGCAACACACCAAAAATCAAATAAAACAAGGGAAAAGTCCCAAGAGGCCAGCATCCCGTAAAGTGTTTCCAGATAGCATGACTTTCTGTAAGAAAAAAGTTTGCCAGCGTAAGAAAATGTTGCAAGGTGTGATAAAGTTACTATATTGTTTACTAGCAGCGTCGCACGTGTTATGCACGTGCAAGATATTGGAATTTATTTTTTTCTAATTTTTATATCAAAAGATAGAAAATAGGCGTAGCTAGATTCTTAAAACTGATAAAAGATAATATTTTAATTATCTTTAATTTTAGTTTCTGATGAAACTCAAACTACTTCCTTTTTCTACTATGTTTTCATAGTTTTCAATTTCCAGTATACATATTGATAATGTCTGCTATGTGATTCATTATTTGTATGGTTAAGAAATAAATACGAACTTTTTCTAAAGTGCTTGTAGGAAACGTTTTTCTAAAGGCAGAAGAAACAATATTTCTTCTTAAATTTTAGCAATAGACTCACATAGTTTTTAACATAATACATTTACATACTTGCAATTTTAATATTTTCTACATCTATATTTAAAAGATCATAAAGCTTTCTAATACCTTAGAAAATTTTAGTAGTATTCTCATAATAAATTATTTGTATGGTGTAGCAATTTTAACGTTGAAGTGTCTGCATGAAAATGTTAATTTTATACTAAATAGGGAGAGGGAAAGATTAAGGGAGGATATGTATTGTTGATATTGCAAATAAAAGTTCGTGAGGGGAGGGAGGATGTTTGCTCACTTTCTGATATGTTTGCAAAGTCGTCCACAAAATTATCAATGCACCCCTCACACTTCCATGCTGATGGGAAATCTCCTTCACTCATTTTGGTATTCCCTATAACATTTTAATATATAGTAGTCCAGGTATTAGCGACTAAAAGCCACAGGTCTATGTAGAACTGAGGATTAACAGCAAAGGCACTGTCCATTGTGGGATATCTCTTCGCCATACAAACACATATTAAGATATGCACATACATCGGGGTAACCGAACTGTCAGCAAAATAAAAGCTAATACGTACACTGAGTCACCAGGGCCACAGGGTGCAAGAAGGACCATGGCGTTCATATCCCTTTAAGACACAACTCATCCATAGATGGTGTCGTTACAGTTTGGGATCAAATGTATCAATTCTATTCTTTCACTCGGTTTTGTTTAGACCTATTTTCTTTATTCAGTTAACTATTATCATATTATTTTTAATTTTTTTTCTTCCCATCCAAGCTTTCTTATCCCTAGTGCCGGTTCTCCTTGTACGATCTTACCACTTCTCATGAGGTTAATACATATTGTCAAACCATTTCAATAGCAAATATCTTAACTTTATGTAAGTATACGCATTTTTTTAATCATATCTCTTGTTACATATATTCATGCATTCATTCAAACATTCTCATTTTTGCTCTACTTATTTTGTGCATTAGTTATTTCTTAACTATCACAATAGCCTATTTTGATTGGATAAGTGCACTCTTTACTACTACATTGCTTCTATAACTGCACGTGAATTTTTGATAAGCTTTATTTGCTTGCGCATAAGAGCACCATTAAATCAAAGAATCGCACCAATAGAGCGTAAATGAAAAGGGTTTGTGTGCAACCGTGGATATCCACAACTAATTGTAAGTTCAAAACATAGTTACCACTATTTAAGCTTGAGCAGTAGTTATAGGGAAAATTTATTTTTTTTTGAATTGCAGCAGTCTTAGCGGTGAGCACTGTGCAGCTACCCCGAGGAGGGAGCTTGAGTAGGAAAAGGAAAACAAAAACAAAAGAAGGAAAAAACGTACAAGGAATGACACAAAAGGCAAAAGAGGAAGAAAGAAAAACTAAAAATAGCAGAAGAGCCAAATTTGAGGGCACCTGCTGTTGATTAGCAGAAAACATTGTCTCCCACATTCAGAGATCTAACAGAGGAGGAAGAAGAAGCTGGCTGAATATTTCTGTTATTTTCCAAAGGTTAGATCTCTCTGAGCTGCTAAAATTTAGGGTGTGTTAGGCAATTCTAAAAGTAGGATTGAATTTGAATTAGTTCTTGCTTAATTAGGCTAGATTTGGTCCATGTAGGGGTTATTTCAAAAAAAAAAAGTTTAAGTGCTCAAATTTGAGCTAGAAAACTAATGGTTTGTTATGGTACCATGGTGTTTTTTTTTGTTGTGTTTTTGTAAAAAAACACTATGGTGTTGTGTTTTTCCCTTAAAACATTTTCAAAAACTATGTTAAGTATTTTTGATCAACACTAGACCCATTACAACATTCGTATTAAAAATATTATTAATATATTATATATTAATTATAATAAAATATACTATAAATAAAATATTATAATATTTAGTTTACATTATTATAGTATTAGAAGTATTAAATATAGTGCAAAATTGTACAATGTATTATAATATTATATTATACTTAATGAGTTATATTATATTATATTTATTAATATATTATAATTATTACATATTATTTTCAAATAATTATGTATTTAATTATTTTAGTATTCAATATCATAATATTTTTAAAATAATATTATATTATTATTAATATATAGAGTATGTATTAAATAATGTTAATATTATGTTATTCTAGTAATATTATTAATAAATTAATATATTATAAATATTTTAATATTATGTAATATATTATGGTCTTTAATAATGTTAGAGTTTATTAAATAGTAATTTAATAATATATCAATTAGTTTTTATGAATAAAATAAAATATTATTTTATTATGAATATATTGATTTTACGTTAACTTTGCAAGAAATAAATTATTTATTTATTATATAACATATTAATATTTTTAATATATTGATATTACATTTATTATTAAATATATCATCATAATAATATTATTATATTGTTATTTTATTTTTAAATATATTGCTATCATATAATATTTTATAATTATTAATTTATTATAGTTTATTTATGAAAAAGTTAATAATATTATAGCGATTATACTATTGTGTAGTATATTATTATATCATTATTATATTATTATTTATTATCAATAATTTTTTTATTAGTTTATTATTATTTATTATTATATAATACATTGTTAATATATTAAATACTAGTATGTAATATGTTATTACATTGTTATATAAGATATTTTATTTATTATATTTTTATATTATTTAATAAATATCACTAATATATTAGATTAACTATAGTATACACTACAACAAATTGCACTTTTCCTGACGCTTATTCCCGACACATGGTTAAATACGTCGCCAAAAACTATGTTTTTCCCGACGCTTTTAGTTAGCGTCGGCAAAAAATATATTTTTCCTGACGCTTATAATTAGCGTCGCTAAAAGTGTATATTATTAGCGACGTTTTAACTTAGCGTCGGTAAAAGTTATGGAAAAAGTGTATATTATTAGCGACGTTTTAACTTAGCGTCGGTAAAAGTTATGGATTTCCCGACGTTTTTTCATTTTTAGCGTCGGTAAAAGTTATGGATTTCCCGACGTTTTTTCATTTTCGTCGGCAAAAGTATAGCTTTTTAGTGACGTTTTAGGATTAGCGTCGCTAATAGTATGCATTTATCGTGACGTATTAGGCTCACGTTGCTAAAAGTAATCTTTTCCCAACGTATCTAGTTGACGTCACTAAAAGTTAAATTTTTTACAACGCTTCTTTATTAATTCGCGTCGCCAAAACCTCCCCCCACCCGCCCCCGAAAATTTCCCCACTCGTACAAGGGAGGGAAAATTCCCCCCTTTTATTTTCACGATGAGCCAAAACCCCTACCCTCGCTCTCTCTCTCATCAAAAAATCGCCCCCAAACCCGTGCTTCTTCTCTGAAGTTCGTCGCCTTCGTCGGAGATCACCGCCGCCATCGTCGGAGAGCTGAAGGCCGAGGCCCAATACAACACGCCACAGCACTCCCAGCCTCATGCCCGGCGTGAGAGAGGGAGACGATGAGGGAGGAGCGGCGGTCCTGAGTAAGAATTTCTCCTAGCGTCTCACCCCCAATTCTCTCTCATCCTAGGGTTTCTTCCTAGGTTTAGGGTTTTTGGTTCTTGAACCGTAAATTATTGAGTCCAAGCGGTTTGGGAAGCAGTGGATTAGGGTTTATTCTCCCCCCCTCTTATCTGATTTCAGCATTAATTGCTAGTTTTAGATGAAGATCAAACAATAAATAATAGACAACAGTAACAAAGAATATGATGATGTGATGTGTTCCTTTGAATCTTAGTTGAATCTTCCCTCAAGATTCTCGATTCTTTAGGTTGATTCTCAGCTCTATGGCTGTGGCGGAGGAGAACGCCGGCGACGGTGCGGAGCCGCCGCCGCCGCCAGAGAGAAGATCAAGATTGGCGTCTGCGTCATGGAAAAGAAGGTGAAATGCGGATCGGAAGTTCTTTCCCTTATGCCCGATGTTATTTTTTTTCCCTTTTGATTTGCTAGAAAATGGTTGGATTAGATAAAGGTGATGGGTTTTTTTCCCTTTCCATTTTACTGTTGTTTTAGTTTCTGTTTGTGTTGTTGTTGTTGATGACGGTGATCCTGTTGTTTGTAGGTGTTGTCTGCTCCCATGGGCCAGATCCTTGAGAGATTGCAGGCATTTGGAGAATTCGAGGTAGCTTTTAGATTTTTACATGAATTCAATGGTCTTTTGGTATGTTATAACTTGTGGTGAGAAATCAATTTTAGGGAGATAATGATCAATGTAAGATCACAAAAATTGCGTGCACAAACATGGATCACTGTGTCACTAACTACTATGAAGTTGACGAAAATTGCATGCATGCATTGATCTTTCTGTCCGTGATAGATTTAGGGAGACAAATAATTGTAGCCATTCAGTCATGACTCAATCTTACTTCGATGATTTTTGCTGAATGAAGTGGAAACGCCATGCATAATTTATTTCAGATGACAGGAGAGTTGGTGAAAACCAAATGAGAGATATACTATGTCATGCACTCACATCTTAGTATGCAATCTCAGTTTGTCACTTTATCTAATAGATTGATTTAACCGATTGATTATATGACTTAATTCTGGAAATATATCACGTTTCACTGTGTATGGAAGCTTCCGATTCATGAATCTCATTGGCGATTGAAATCATGTATGTATCTTGACCATTCATTTGGAAGCCT